ATTTGTTGAAATGGAAGGAAGGACATGCAATCATATGATGGGTCAACTTCGCTGTACTACAATAGGCAACGGGAAACAATTTTCGTTGAGAATAACTGTTATGAGGCACCGTAAAAAAATAAAAATTTAAAATAAACGTTTATGGTCAGCAGAAAAAAAAATCCATTGAAAATAACTGTGATGAGGCAATGTAAAAAAATAAATATATATATACAGTGGCTCAAAAATGAACTCGGGCACACAAGTTATGTGACTTTGAACAAAAAAATTTATAATAAAATGCTAATCGAGGGCTTTCTGTTTAACATATATTTCTATTCTTCAAGTGTATTTTTCAAAACAACCAAAACCATAAACTAAATTCAACTCGGTCGTATAAAAATAATATGAACATAACTTAACAAAACTGATGACAAAAAAGAACTCGTACATATACATAACATAGAATTTAAAAATATTATTTAAAGAGAAACAAAATATTTTTAATATTTGGTCGGCAAGCCTTTACTTTTTCTGATAGCACTCAGTCTTCTTGGCAAAGATTCAACTAGCTTCTTGCATGTTAAAGAATTTTTCCCCCCCATTCTTCCAAAATAGCGGCTTCTAGGTCTTTCTTATTTCTAATAACATACATTTTCAGTTTTTTTTTCCGAAATATGTTCAATTACGTTAATGTCGGGAGATTGTGGTGGTGTTTCAAGCACTTTAGGACAGTTATACATGAACCATAGACGGACATCAAGTGCTTTATGCTTGGGATCGTTGTCTTGGTAGTACTAGAAATTGTCTTTAATTCCCAACTTTTCCGCACTTTGCATTAAATTTTCTTTTAAAATGGTCAGATTGAAAATCCTTATCCCCATGACATTTTGCAAATTTAATCCTTTTGTTTCGGTTCACCTCGTTTTAAATGGTTTCTTCCGTGCTACTCTTCCATTATTCGGATACTCTCCGCATTACAATTTATATTGGGATGTTGCAAAACTTCTGTTGAGAGCTTGGAAGGCCTCATGTTTGGATTTTTTTTTTGATTTGGGTCGTCCAGACTTCTTTTTATTTTCCACGGATTTTGTTTGTTTGAATCGTTTAATCACTTCATGCACAGTCGAGCGGGGTCTGCTCACAATTTCTGCGATTTCTCGAATGGTTTTTCCTTTTCAAAATGACTAATAATTAACTTACTTACTTCAATTGAATTTTGTCCACGCTGTGTACCCATGTTTGAACTTTTCACCTTTTTTTTCCAAAGAAACTACTTAAATTTTATTTTAAGCTATTACGTTTGATTATATACATATGTATTTTTAAACGAAAATAAACTAATTGTGGGATTCCCCTTTTTGAAATGCCAATCAACTGTAATATTACCAGATGTCCGACTTCTTTTTTAGCGAAATTTCTAGCATGTCACATGTTAATTTTTTGAAGTAAGGGCATAGGAGACCTATAAACTATTTAATTTGTTTGTTATCGGTATTTTTTAAATCCTTATTAGATACCCTATAGAAACATACAAAACAAAAATGCTTAATATCAATTAGTTAAAAAAAATCTGTTGCATGTTAATAACAGTGGAATGTATGTCCGAGTTCTTTTTTGAGCCACTGTATATATTTTTTGCAATATAACAGTTACTGCACAATTTGCCAAAAAAAAAACAATTGTAAAACTATTCGAATGAATTTAATGAGTTAACGTTTTCGCGAGTGCATATATTTTATATTGTATATTTCTCTTCTTAACTCCCCTGTAGGGAATGTGACTAACGATTATCTAACGAATTCGACAGTTACAATTGATTTTAAACAGCCACCGCTCAATCGACTCTCAGTGCATTTAACTGTAGAATTTTACATGGGCATGTGCTACGATAGGGCAAATCGTCCCCCTACTGCAATACCTTTCGTTAGTCTTTTCTATAGTGCTAAATAATAATACACTTCCATAGTTTATATACATCAGTAATTTCGATAATGTCAAGTCACCTACTACTTCTGTAATACCAAATCACCCCAACATTACATGATTACAAATACATATATAACTATTTTTTCCTCCGCCTCCGTTTATTTCAAAGGTATTTCAAGAACATAAAATATATATTATAATATTTAATTAATATTGATTGTTTATTTAAAAAAAGAGAATAAGTAACTTTAAAAATTGGTACGAGATCCTAATCCGTGTGATTGGAAGCGGTAGATATCTACTTTGCTTTGTTGGAGCACATTTGCTTCTAAACGCGTTTACTCTGGAGTTATATAGAACTCTCATTATTACTGGAAATGAAATCTGAAATATACAAATGCTGCTATCTTACCAAGACGGTGAGAGTAGATTTGTGTATCATAAGTTTGAAAATAAAAATTATAATAATTCGAAAAATTTATATTTACAACAAAAAAGTAATAGTATGCCTATATATTTTTCAAAGTAAATTAACGCCCGAAAGTATACAGGATTCTAAAGCAACTCCTAACCGCGCTATTAAGATAATAACGGCTAAATTAGAGCACTTAATAGTTGTTGGTTAATAATGAATTGAATAATACAACAATAGATTACATGGCAGATGTTGGCGCAGTGGTAGAACATTCGTCTGTTATGCCAGGATCCGTTGGTTCGATCCCTGCCATAAGAAATCTTATGAATCAGGCTTCAACTCACTTAATACATATGCATAACAAAAAAATTATAGTATGGCCGCAAAAAAAAAAACAATTATAAAAATATTTACAGTATGAAGGGAATGTAATTAAAAAAATTTATAAGAAGAAAAAAAAACGAAATTACATTAGACAGTGCTATGGATATTATGCATTACCAAAGCACAGCTAAGTAAACACTAGAATTATTTCTGAATAAATCGCTATAGATTTTGGATCGATTGGCTGCTAGCAGCACTAAAAAAGAAAACTGCTAGCAGCAGTAAAAAGAGAATTTTGTATCCTCAGACATATTGTACATACGCATAATCGGCCGAGCTGATGGACTTTTATCAGGAGGTATAAAAATTAATAGCATTTCTTATCAAGTAAAAAAAATAAATATTTTTCAATTGTATTGTATTTCAAGAAATGTCAGCAAAATCAGTAAAATATACATATATAAGGACAAGGCGATCGAATAAAAATGACTGCAGGAGATCAAATATAACAATTACCTTTTTTTTGTTTTTGCTTCTAGGGTAGGGTTTGTCAAAAGATAATGGAGAACTCACGTTTAGAATTACTCGTATACTGTGATACAACACTTTCCTCAATGCCAGCTCAATTACTAGAGAACCATGATGCTTCTTTCTGAAAAAGTGTCCGATTTTTCATAATATATTTTAAGTAGTAGTAAAAAAGTTTGAATTTATTTGAAAACATTTAATAGGCAGCACATGTTCTTTCCCTATTGGTTGAGTTTGTTTAAGTTCAATATTTTCTGCTTATTCAAATATTAATTTATTAGTTTATATTCATGTTCATATAATAAAGGTCGCAATGACAAGCAAAATGTTTGTCCACAAAAATAAGCTGCTTTGAAGAATACATAATAACAAGAACCACAACCTTACTATAAATATGATAACTTATTATGAAATGTTAACGGATGTACTTATATTTGTACAGAGATATAAATAGATTAAAATATAAATAGATGAAGATAATATGTTCAGTTCATTACTGTTATTTGGTGGAGCGGACATTGTTTTAGACAATCTTAATAAGATTTTATAAATCGATAAGTAAAGGTAATTTGCTTCCCAAATTTGATGACTGAAGTAATTAACAGACAATTGTTACTTTGAGTTTCCACATATAATCAACTAACCAAAATTAGCTAATGAATAACTGGTAAAATACAAATCTTCCTTCAAACGAAGCCAGCTTACTCTGCTTCCACCAGTGTTGCAGATGTTGTTGTAATCACTATAAGTCATTAAATATGAATCAAATTCAACGATTATTTCTTGGTTTTTATATATTTTGTTTGATTGACAATACTTATTTTAATTTACGTTTTGTTTGTTTCCGATTTTATATTTATTTTCTATTTGTAAGTGTAGTACCGAGAATTTGGGCGTTCTAACAGCCAGTTAATTTTCCACTATTTTGACAACCGTTTGTAAATATTTTTATTTAATTAGGACTAGGCCAAGATCTAGGCGTCCAAGGAAGCTATCCTGGCGAGATTTTAGTTTTATCACAAAGAAAGAACTTTACGGGAAGATAGCTATCGAAGCAGAGTTCCACGTAAAAAAAAGAAGACTCTTGTTTAAGGTTGAATCGAAAGCGTTGGCTGCGTAAAAATTTGGCACAAAGTAATGACAGCTCATCAAACGGTGAGGGTAGCGTCAAGGTTTGGGGAGCGATTGGAGCAACTGGCGTAGGACATTTAACGTTTATCGATGGAATAATAAACATATATATTTACAAAAATATTTTGGATCAACATAGGTTGTCTTCCGTGGGTTCCTTGGGTCGCGGAAGTTCGTAGATATTTTAACAAGACAACGGACCTAACCTTAAAGCGGGTTTGGGGGAGGAATGACTATTGTATTATGCTCCTAGTCAGCTTTATAGTCCGCCGCAATCATCAGACTTGGCGGCTTCAAGCAGCAAATAAGCTTTGGAAGAGTATCTGAAAAAGGCATAGTCTGAAATTGCGCCACCGGAAATAAAAAAATTGATTATATCTACCCCACGTCGTCTAAAGGTAGTTATAGAACCATGATGTGGACCAACAAAATATTGTATTAAGCCCCTTTATTTTTTAGTTTAATTTAGTCAAAAAATGAAAGAATGTGTATTGTATTTAAACGTTTGTACCGCGTGATTTCATGTTTTTATGTTTTTTTTCTATGCACTTTTTATTATATAATTTTGTAATTTTAGAAAGTCGAACATTTATTTCTTAAAAAACTTTTTATGTCAGACAGTTAATATTTTAGAATTTTATGGTTTGTATTATGGCGCGAAGTTATGATATTCCTTTTAATATTTTGTTCATAGATTTCTGGCCATATATTTTCGTTAGAAGTGGAAAAATGCTATCATGTAGAATCAACCACTGCTATCGATGCACAACAAGAATATTTATTGCGGTGGCTCTTCAAGGATCCACAAGATGATGTATCCTCATTGCAAAAGAATAGCTGTTTGCTACAAGATCCTCAATCATGTCTAATCGAAATAGGACCACGCTTTAATTTTTCGACAGCTTTTTCTACAAATTGTGTAAATATATGTCAAAATGTTGGCTTGCATGAAGTAATACGCGTCGAGATGTCAACACGGTATCTACTTAGACTTGATTTAAAACAAGCATTAACGCAAAACGTAAAACTGCAAATCATTGATTTGTTGAGTGATCGCATGACTGAATGTGAATATACCAGCGATAATTTACCTATAAATAGTTTTAACGTGCAATCGGATATTCATAAGAATTGGTATCACGTGCCTATTTTATCTACTGGACGGCAAGCTCTGGAAAAGGTAAATACTGAGCTTGGTCTAGCGTTTAGTGACTGGGATATGGACTATTACACGAATCTCTTCAAAAATATCCTAAAACGAGATCCGACTACAGTTGAGCTATTCGATTGTGCTCAAAGCAATAGTGAACACTCCCGTCATTGGTTTTTTCGAGGAAAAATGATCATATCTGGACAAGAGCAACCTGAGTCTTTGATCAAAATGATAATGAATACACAAAACTATAGTAATAGTAATAACACAATTAAATTCAGTGATAATAGTAGTGCCATACGCGGTTTTACACATAAAGTGATACGACCACACAATTTCAACGGGCCCAGCAATGTACGCTTAGTAAACACTGAATCGGATTTAATATATACTGCTGAAACACATAATATGCCCACTGCAGTGGCACCTTTCAGTGGCGCTACTACAGGGACTGGTGGTCGGCTTAGGTGAGTAATAAACATAATATTTAAAGCTTTGGTCTTGCGTATTGATGTGGATTGAAGGTAATTTGTCTTTTTGTCATTGTCAGTAATTCTCCAAGTAGTGAGTCATTCTATTACTTTTTATTGATGTTGTTATCTATAAGTAACCGTAATGGGCTCCAAATAGAGTTATTATTAACCAATAAAAGCTAATGTAACCGCTGCGGGTTAGTGGTTCAAGAATTTACCCAGGGTAAGGCGTGCCTGGCGTTAGAGGCGACTAAAATCCAATAGTTCCCGCTACAGTCGGGTCTTTATACCGGAACGACCCGGATTTTTATCCGGCCAAATACTGTCACTCCCGCAACATTCCCCAAAAACAACTTTGGGGAATATTTTTGCGGTTACGACAACAACAACCGCTCTATTGAGCTGATCGTTATCGCATCTTATATAGGAGCTTAATTTTTTAATTTCTTTCCAGATACTTTCCCTAAGTGATTAAAAAAACCAAATTGAAATTATCATCAAATTCTAGAAGAGGATTGCTTCAAAGATTTGATGCAAGTACATTTGAAAAATGAGTGATAAATGACACATCCTAGTTTTCATCGAATTTGAGCCGATTCACCGTTGTGAGTTCATAGCGGACGCATCTAGAATTGTTTTAAGGAGAGTGAGCGATTTTAGATTTGCACCTTGGAATTTTTTGCTTTTAAGCAAATTTGTGAATTTGTTAAAATTGAGCATAATTCATTAAAAAACTCCATTTTGTTAAGAAAACATAAACATATGATGGAGGAGGGGGTTTCTATATGTAGAAAATAAACAGTATTGGGAATAGGACACCTAAGTTTCGATGCTTCGCTTTGGAATATTATCTATCACTGTCGACCACTCAGGTATGCCATGACCCACCTCTGCAACTCCGGCGGTTATGAGGATTCCTCAATGTCCGTTAGCAGAAATGAGTGGTTGACGGTATGGGGCAAATCCAGTTCAACTAAGACAGTACGCGCGCAGGGTCGGTTTAGATTTATGCCATTGACTATCTGAGTGTGTATGAGTTTTGAGCGTTAAGTGCTGTTATGATACTATGCACTTTACAGAAGCCTTGCTGATATGTTGCAGGACGCAGGTAGTGAGTTAAGGTCAGGAGCAGCAAGGCCGCAAGAGTCTTCGCTACTGGGAAAAGAGATTTATTGGCCAATAACACTCTCTTTTGTTGCCTGGTTTCCCCGGCTTTAGTAAATGGACCACCTTGCCCGTGAGAAATTCTGATCCCGCTGGTCCAAGATGTTTTAGTATTAGCATGCTGATACCGTGGGCCGATGGATTTGGAAGCTTTCGCCTTCCCGATGGCCTCATAAACCTCTTTCCTGGAGAAATGATGCGCCGCGCTGGTGTTTGGCACGTCGCTTCGTTTTGTCTACCGAAGATCCGTCCAAAGTAGCTCGCGCATCTCTTTGGGTCCGACGAGGCGCAATCACCTAATGGAATTTTCACCCGGTCATCGCGTCTCGTCGGGTTAGACAGCGACTTGACTGTAGCCCATAGCTTAGTTGCCTCAGAGGAGGAGTGTCAGGTCCTTAAGTGTTCCTCCCTTTTTTTCCGCTTGTGGTTGTTAAAAACTCTGCGAATCTCCGTGCTTAAATCCCTAATTGCTGGATTGCCGGAATCGGAGTTTCGAAGGATGTCGCGCCTAGATGCTTATACCTCTGCTTCTGACGGAAAATTTTGGGCGGATTTCCGCGATTCGGCCTGCGGTCACGACGACTCTGCAGAAGTAACGTTCACCAGTAGTGACGTCTGATGGAGTGGGGAGAGCACAATAGGTGTTCTTGGTGAATTCCGTGAAGCCGGACAAGTTAGCTTTTTAAAGTTGCTAGTGCCAGTACAGGTCGCTAGATTATACTGTTTATCAGACCAGCACTCGCAATTGTTATATCCGGCGAGCTTTGGCAATTGCCCATAACTCTTGTGGGGGTGTTATCGTCCATTGTGCAGAATGTCGAATCGTCTATCTGTTCAGTCAGCCACACTGCTCTACGGCCATTTGACAGGCTAGAATGCAAAAAATCGTGATGCGTGTTAAAGAGGCCCAAAACCAAACGGTTTTCTCCTCTGAGTAGCGCACCTATATCAGGGCCGTATCCAACTGGGCAACTTGTAAGAGGAGGAATGTATATATTAAATGTCTCGAGCTCGGCATCGCTTGACCGGATAAGATAAGACGATACTGCACGGTGTTGGGTAGGAAGAACGTTAAGCCCCTACAATGGTCTCACTCGCAATACTTGCGGATTATGTTTTATCCGGCGATCAACTTCGTTTCCTGGATCGCAGCAATTGACAGGTGCTTCCGGTTCATGTAGTCGACTATCTCGTCGATCTTCCCCTGAATTCTGTTGCAATTAAATTGTAGAATCGGGTCTGTCTCGAGGGAACGTTCGTAATTCAGGGAGTGAAGGAGTGATGGGTGGATGTGTTGCTGCTATAATGTTCGCTGATGTCGATTCCGCACGTTTGTGTTGGGTGGCGGTATGTCTGTCGAACAGGCGGGACAGACTAATACAGCATGGGGCAACGTACGCATCGCTTCACTCAAGGGTGGTGTGCAGGCCGGAGCACGTCCGAAAATGACACCAGCCAGAGCAAGAGCTGCATCAGACTGAGGTCTTGTTCCGACGCACTATGGTCTGACACACTGAACAGACTGAACAGACGGGCAGTAGGAGCTGCTGGGTAGCGCTCGCACGGGAGGAGGATGAGTAGGGATGGGGTTGGTGGTTGTTGGGAGTCATGCTGCGGTGAGCTCCATGAGACCGTAAAGGTCTGTTGGTTACCCAAAGTGGGTAAAGGTGCTGAAGACACTAGAGGCTAGGGCGCGCTTGGGCGCTGGAAGTATGGGGCCACATAACTTGTCCACTCCCTATGGGTCGTAAAGCCTGAGCAGGTCTTAACCCAGCTGCGAGGTGTTGCTCCGTTGGCGAACATAAATTAATATTACCTGTTGACCTAAAAAAGGTTATGTCCCCGAAAGGGTGACAGTCCTTGGCCGGATAGAGTCCTGGTCAACTCCGGTACGTAGAACCGGCTGTCTTTGAGAGTTGTCCTGTCCAGCGACTTGTTGAGTTTGGTTTTCGTTCAACGAAAGAGGACTTTACTTTTCAATTGCCTACTCAGTCCAAAGTATCATCTGTTGCAAAAATTATTCTGCGTTGGATTTCAACGCTGTCGTTATGATTGGTGTTAATTCTGGTCCCCAAATAGAGGAAATTATCTACGTCAAGTTATGACTGCCAACAGTGGTTTTGGAGCAGATTCGCGAATGCGATGACTGTTTGTTTGATGACAGAAGATATTTCATTTTGTCCCTGTTCACTACCAGACCCATTCGCTTCGCTTCTTTATCAACACGGATGTCAAGGCCTCTGATACGGCAATATGTGAAATATTGTACTTTGTCAATTAGCTCTGCAACTTTTATTTTCTAAGAAGAAATGTTCAAAGGATCACTACTTGAGGGTATGCATCTAGAATATCCGGTCCCTTCATAGGGTTTGGGTTTCGCCTCGCAGCTTGTTGATGTTCTTTTAAGAATAAAGGCTAACATCACTGCGTCTTAAAAGTGCACTACTGGGCGGCACAAGGAATCAAACGAGTAGGCCATATAAAGAAGTTCAAATTTAGTGTCGGATTCGAACGTCTCCCACTTCATCGCCGAGTACTAGCATTCAACCCGGTGGAAGAACGCTCCGTCATAATTCGCATAAACGCGATATGCTCCCCTCCATCATGAACAATGGCCCCACCACGATGTGAAAATTGTGCCTGGTGACTTTTAGGCCAAGGTGGGCAACGGAAGTATCTTCGGCATAACCGTTGGAAAATATAGCTTTCTCGTCGAGAAATCCCTAAAGGCGTAAGGCTGATCAACTTAACCCAGGTGTGAAATACGGTTGTCTGCAGTACTATATTCTAACACAAGAAAATTCATCAAGTTACTTGGCTGTTTCCATATCGAAAAACTCAAAACGAAATGTCTCCGCATCTGTGCGACAAAGAACACAAGGAAGACTCTAATTCGAAAACCTGCAATCATAGCAGACAGTCTAAAAGTTTTCTACTCTACTTGTATTACTGCTCTCTGAGAGAACTCATCAGCCACTCGGTATTAGGAAACGTTGCAGTTGACCACTAAACAGCCGAGTAGGATAGGTACCGAGGTCATGTCGAGCGTATTGTGTGAAGACTGAAGCCCACCGTCAACAATCTTTCTTGGATCTTATAAGTGTGACTTCAGACTTGGACCAGATATTCACCACGCGTCATATCTTGGAAAAGACCCGTGAAAAGAGGATCGACACCCGCCACCTCTTCGTCGATTTGAAAGCCGTCTTCGACAGCACGAGTAGAAGATGCCTTTACGCCGCTATGTCTGAATTTGGTATCCACGCAAAAGTTATACGGCAGAGCTGAATACAGAAGGTACAATCTTCTATAAGAGTTTACAAGTACTTTCGTACGCCGATGATATTGACATCGGCCTCAACAACCTCGCCAGACTTGATAAGGAAGCGAAGGATATGGGCCTGGTAGTGAACGTGGGCAAGACGAATTTTCTCTTGTCATCACTCAAATAGCCATCGCATTCGCGACTTGACTCCCACGTCACTGTTGACAGTCATAACTTTGAAGTCGTAGATAATATCGTATATCTAGGAACCAGCATCAACACCAATAATAATGTCAGCATTGAAATCCAACGAAGACTGAGTAGGCAATTGAAAGGTAAAGTCCTCTCGGGACGAATGGAAACCAAACTGCAAGTCCCTCATCGTTCCCGTCCTGCTATATGGTGCGGAAGCATGGACGATGACAACATCTGATGAGTCGGCGTTAGGAGTTTTCGAGGGAAAGGTAATGCGTAAGATTTATGGTCTTTTGTGCGTTGGCAACGTGTTCCAGCATTGTTCACGGAAATGTAGCATGCACGCCACAGGACTTCAGCATTCTTAGCA